AATCCATCCATCCATTATCCATCCATTATCAATCCATCCATCCATTATCCATCCATTATCAATCCATCCATCCATTATCCATCCATTATCAATCCATCCATCCACCCATCCATTATCCATCCCTCCATTATCCATCCATCCATCTATCCATCCATCATCAATCCATCCATCCATTATCAATCCATCCATCCATTATCAATCCATCCATCCATCCATCCATTATCCATCCCTCCATCCATCCATCCATCCATCCATCCATCCATCCATCCATCCATTTAAAATACCTTAATTTTACTTTAAGTTACAAATCTGAAAAGGTGTGGTGTCCATTTTGCTTCTGCCCGCTGTTGTTAGGTGTTTAACTTACCCTGCTGTTACCAGCATGTTTTGCTGTATGGATTTTTTTCTTCCTCTAATGATACAAAGATAGTTGTAAATCACAATAGCTGTTTTTGAAAGGAGAATAAAAATTGCTAATTAAAACTGATAAAATGTTTTATTTTTAAGCAATATTTCAATAACATCAGATAAAGGATAATATTACTACTTTAAAACTAGATTCTCAGCTCATTCTTTTTCTGCAAACTTAACCTGTTATCTATAAAAATTGCAAAAAAGCATTTTAAAACACCTTAAAAAGTAAAGATTAAATCAGCTGCTGCTCTTTAACCCTTGTTTAGCGTCCAAACTGCCATTGTAATGGTAGACAGCAGCCTTATTGTGGCTGAATGAGGTGGCAGATTTTGAGGCCTACGTTCTATGGACGGGACGGGAAAGTTATTGGGTTAAAAGAACTGGGTTTGCGTCACACTTTGGCCAAACTCAGGACTTGAAATAATTTCTTTCTGTTGTGTATTTGCTTTAGAGCGCCTGCCTTTAGTTAACCTTCTGAGAAACTGGAATCGTTCAAACCCATCCAGAAAAATAAATCTCAGCAGAGTGGTTGGTTGTAGTTAATTTTTTATTTCCTAAAAAGATCTCGCTGGCAGGGATGGGAAGATTTATATAAGCTGCCAACACTTCTGAATCTAAAAATATTTGTAAACAGTTTGGAATATTTAACTACTTAAAAATTCCTCAACATAGTTTCAGAGGCCTTTGAACACCCAAACATTTCAGACGTTACTTTGACTGATACTTTGCCCAAGGCCTAGCTGCCAGGATCGCTTTGATGGATGTTTGAGGAAAACACAGATTGGACTCATCCAGCTGGGCGAATGTCAGACATTCAGCCTTGCATATTGTTTTTCAGATAAGGTACACACGCAATCAGGCCCAGGAAACCGACGCTGCCCACGCCGCATCATGTACTCGCATACAAACGCACACCTGTGTATACACATATGATTACCTTTGTCTTTCACGGAGCTGGAATACTCCTGCTCTTGGATATACATATATACAATCCCCTGCCTGTTTTTCAGACCTTTCTTTTTTTCCGTCTTCCTTCCAACCAGGAATCGGTTGTCATTCATCTCAGCTTTCTTTTCCACAGCCAGAACTACAAGTGGACAGGACCATGACGCACGTTCAGCCATGCACATGTATTTCACTCTACCATGTATGCCTCAAATATCCATTTCTGCATGTCGTCATGTGTATAGGATATCCCAGGTGCAGGGAAAGAGCATGCACGGCGTTTTAGCAAACCGGCTCTGGGAGTTCTCAACAGGGATTCAGTGAGTTTCCGCTCTGGTGGCTCAGTGTTGGGATTGCGGGTGCACAACTCTGTCAGGTGCAATTAGGAGGAGCCGATTCAAGTGAAAGCTGTGTGACAGCTTGTTCATGATGTAAGCTTCGCTTTCCTCATCTGCCTGAGAAATGGATACACACACACAGCAAATGTTGGTGTCTGTGTGTGGGACATTCCCAAGAATTTGGTAGTCATCCAAGGAGCTCTATACCTGCGGTGAACGATTCACTTGTTAACCCCCCATGCAAACATATTCAGGACTTTCCACCGGCTTGTTCTTCAGGTGTGTCCTCAGGAGGGCTCTGCCTCTTTTCATCCATCAGGGGGGAAAGTCATACAGGTGGTCAGAGGGGAGACTGAGAAGCTGCTTTAGTTCACATTGTTGTTTCTTTTTTGGCCTGAAGCCCTGCGATTAATCACATCTTCTTTAACAGAGAGCATAAGCAGGAGCTGCTGTTGTTCAGTGTGAAAACTGGCCACAGCTTCTCAGCGCTGATGACTGTCTAGTATTAGGCTTGTGGCCATGCGCCGTTATGGTGGAGATGAGTTGCATTCTTACTGTGTTGGTGGTCTTCTGTCAAAGCGCTCTCAGTTGTTTGAGGGGGGGGGTTGGACTCCATGATAATTCAGAAGATGGTTTTTTTTTCTGATTAAAGCTAAAAATCAAGGCTGTAATTAAAGCAAACCCAATGATCTCTCTGTTAAACACACACCAAGAACAGATCAAGTATTTCTGGGTAGAATTTAAGCAAAACATGTGGCGGCTGTTTAGGTTGATGCTAAGTTCTAGGCTTCATTATTCATCATTCTTCTTATTTAAAATGCATTGTATCTAATGAAATTACTTTATAGGTATAGTGGAGGTTTTTCCAATTTTTTGGAAAGACCCCCCGTCTCCACTTTAAAAAAATAAATAAAAAATGCACATGCACAACCTTGTACCGACTCCTGAGAGGGAATGCCTATTAAATGCGTGCGAGAGCGTACACGAGGAGAAACAGGCTTTTGCACGTTTAATTTAATTTGCACGTTGTCTGAATGTTCGCCCTAACCCCTAAATCCCTCCATCAATGTATAAAGCAAGGACTATATAGAGGATTTTACAGTGTCCTCAGTTAACTGACTGGACAGATGAACACTGCTTTTTTCTACCCTTTGGTCACGTAACTCCGCCCCCATCACGCAGTGCATCCATCTTTGTTACAGTGGAGTATTTTCGCACTTTTTTTAAAGACTCCCCCCTCGCCACTTTAAAAAAATGCACATGCACAATCATGTACCCGCTCCCGAGAGGGAACGCCTATTAGACGTGTGTGAGAGCATGCACAAGCCCTTTACTAGCAGTGATGTGAAATGGATTTCTCCAAATAGCATGCCAAACTTTACCTGTTGAGTAGAAACTGCAACCGACTCATCAGTCGGAAGCTTGACCTGTGCTTTCATTCTACGCCATTGCATGAAAGAATCTCCAAAAAACACTCTGGTCTTTTTTCTCTCTTCTGTAGACACTTTTTCTCTTATGACTCTCGGCGATTTTCAAAGAACTGCGGTGAGAGAGGCGAGTTTCAATGACTGGGTGAAACCGTAGCTCACACATAATATGCCTGAAAGTGCACATGTGTAGAAAAACACTTAGGGCGGCCTTAGGTAAGCATATTACCTGAATGATTGACAATTAGGAGGACCAATTATTTAGATGATCCACCAGATTAAGAACATCCTCCACTATATCTTTAACTATGTTGATGATGATGGGGTCAGATATTGGACACCACTGGTCTCTTTTATTGCAAATCCAGAGATTATTTCTATTTAATGTTTAGCAGTTGCTGCTGGTAACAAAGATTAGAATCAAATATACAGTAGCTATGAAGATATGTTTGGTTAAAAGCTGTTTGATTAAACTATGCTAAAAGAATTAGCGTCAAGTGTTCTCTGTCCAACTGATGAATATCTGAGGAAAAGTAACATTTTCAATTTTTTCTGAGTTAAAAATCCCAAGTTTTTAGCTGTGATATTTAGGAGAAAAAAGAAAAACGCAGTTTGGCTTCTCCGTCTGCTCCAACAAACCACTGCCGGAGGTGTTTCCTCTTGTCCCTTCGACTGTCTACAACTTAAATGTTTTTTTTTCTGAGGTTTTTAGTACAAACTAGTTGACTGTGTGGAAGAAAGAAAAAGGGAAACTGCTCAAGCGATCACATTCTCTGCTTATATAAGAAAGGTTTCAAAACTGTAAGGTGGGTAAATGTAACTCAGAATAAGAGATGGTTCAGATTTCTGGATGTAGGTTTAAAGGGTTTCTCTTTCACACATTTATCCTGAGGACAGAAAGAGTGTTGAAGATATGTTCATAACATTACATTAAGTATGGATAATAACAGCAGGCGTGAATAAGCTAATTATTAATGGGACTGACTGTTTTTGCCTTCAGGTACCATGCAGTCTGGAGTACTGGGATGAGCTCCAGCAGGCCTTTGTTTCATACCGGGAGTTCAGCTTGTCAGAAAGCCGTGCCTGCCAGCTGCAGCTGCCCAGCCTGAGCCTCACTGATCAGCAGAAAGAGCTGGTGGCCTCAGACCTCTGGAGGATCGTCCTCAACCATAACGCAGAGGGAGGCGATGAGCAGAGGTGAGGCCAACTCTCCTCTAACATAAAACCTGGGATTATATGTTGACTGCTGAGGCTCATTGGAGAAAAATGGTTCCATCTTCTTCCATTGAGAGAAGAAAAGCCTCACTAACTATCTGTTCCTACTTCTAATTTTTTATTTTTGCTGCCTTTGCTTTATGTTTATGTTTTCAGTCACTTCTTTTTGTCTGACTTAATTCAGTTTTAACATAAATGTTCAGGTAAGACGGGTCCCTCTCTAAGATAAAATGTCACATCTTTCTGAGATTTATCTGCCTGAATAATTATAAAAACAAAGTGTCCATGACCAGGATGCTGAACCCTAAGATGCTTACTGTTACTTAATGTGCTTCAGCGTGAGATAATGGGAGATTTAGCGATACATGATGGTGGGTTCACAAGAACGAGACAAGAGTCTAATAATATTTCGGGGGAAAACTACAGTAAGAGTTCCCTGTTTTTCACAAATAGCGTAAAACCTTCATGAGTCAAAAGCTGTGTAATCCGTGGCGAATGAGGCGGCGCGTGTTTGACAGGTCCAAATATGGCGTTTTACATGCTTGTCTAAATGTACGGGCTTCTAAATGCCAAAAATATATTGGGTTTGTTTTGTTTTTCCATAGATAAAATAAAGCTTTCATGACATTTCAAGTTTTCAAGAAAATATCAACTTTAGCATTGACGGCGGCTAACAGTTAGCTGCTGGTACGTCCGAATCATCCAGAACTTCTCTGCTAATCTGTCATCGTTTCTTTTTTTCCACAGAAATCCCACAAAGATGCAAACTATGATGTTTAAAATTAACATTAACATTCTTTTTTTTGAACATTCAGTTTGAAAAGTATAAATTAGACCCAAAGCTTATTAGAACCTCCTTCAGGTGTGTGTGGATGTGCCTTCTCTGTTCCCGTCGGGTGTGAGGAAAAACAGAGGGCTTCCAGACTGTGGAGCACAAAGATCTAAAATGTGTCCCTCGCCCCACATCTGGTGTGCAGGAGCAGGGAGCGGGCTTGGAAGGCGTTCAGATAGGCCTAATGAGATTTCCCAGCACACCAAGTGCCTGTCAGGGCCCATCCGGATTCCTTCCTGCTTACCTTGAGTGTATCTAATCGAGGGGAAGCTCAAGGGAAGCACAATGAGCCCCCCCCCCCTCTCCTTTAGGTTAACTGGTGAGCTGTTAGGCCGTTCTTAGCCCAGGCTGGATCTCACCAAGCTCTAACACTTCCCAGAGCGCCTTCTTACTTCATGCTTCTCGCTGCCACTGGTTTCTCTCCCTTGCGTCTCCCTTAGCCTTCTGTTACATCTCCGGGGTTCTGACGGCGTTTTAACAAATTTCACTCTGGAGTTCTCTCCTCCGTTTCTTATCTTACTTCATCCTGTTTTCTTTCTTTTCCATTTTTTGCTTCCTTTTTTGGGGACTTAGAAAATCTTTTGGGTAAACGAAGCGCCAGGCCTGCATTCTGTGTGGTTTAGACAACTTCAACACGGAGCTCTCTGCAGGACCATATACTGTGTGTAAAGTAAAATAAACATCTGTATTTCATTACAATCATACCCCCAAACACTACATTTCCTTAATGTTTGAATTATTTGTCTTTTTTGATCAAAACTGATCCCCTTTCCTTACTCCCTCATTCCATCTGCCATACTTTAGTTTCCACCAGAAAAATAGCTTGGCTGCGCTGCCAACTGGAAGTAATGAAAATTGTCAACATATGATTGTTATCTTTTTAAGGAGCGCTCCGCTGGACCCGCATTTTTCACTTCTCCAGAGTTTTCCTCTTAAAGTGGATCATGGTAGCTGCAAATTATAGAACAAATGGTCGTTCATTTTAAACTGCTTCCACTTCGACATCATCAACCATGAAATGCAGTTAATGTCCACCGAGGAGTTTTCCTGGAAACTGGCTGCAATAATTTACCTAACAACCCTGGACAGTTAGTTATTGTCTCTTTGCTTCCAGGTTTTCCTGAGAGGTCCTGGTGTTTGTCCTGATAGGGATTTATGTGTTTTTGAAAGATGTAGAAATGCCATTTATTTTATGGATGTATGGAGTGAGTTTCATTCCTACGAAGGAGTATAAAGTCCAGGCTACAGAATCTTTTTTTCTATTTCGAGAATAAAGTCGCAACATTATGATAATAAAGTCACAACGAGAATAGTCCTAAAATTATGAGAATAAAGTCGTAAAATTACAAGAATAAAGTCATAACATGTGAATAAAGTCATAAAATTATGAGAATAAAGTGTTAACATTACGAGAATAAAGTCACAACGAGAATAGTCGTAAAATTATGAGAGTAAAGTCGTAACATAACAAGAATATAGTCATAAAAGTACGAGAATAAAGTCATAAAATTATGAGAATAAAGGCATAAAATTCTGAGAATAAAGTGGTAACATTACGATAATAAAGTCACAACGAGAATAGTCGTAAAATTATGAGAATAAAGTAACATTACAAGAATAAAGTTATAAAAGTACTGGAATAAAGTCATAACATGAGAATAAAGTCATAAAATTATGAGAATAAAGTGGTAACATTACGATAATAAAGTCACAATGAGAATAGTCGTAACATTATGAGAATAAAGTCGTAACATCACAAGAATAAAGTTGTAAAATTACGAGAATAAAGGCATAACATGAGAATATAGTCATAACATTACGAGAATAAAGGCATAAAATTCCGAGTATAAAGTGTTAACATTACGATAATAAAGTCACAATGAGAATAGTTGTAACATTATAGGAATAAAGTTGTAAAATTACGAGAATAAAGTCACAACGAGAATAGTCATGAAATACGAGAATAAAGTCGTAAGATTACGAAAATAAGGTTATATTTTATGACAACTCTTACAAGAATCACTTTCTTTTGGACAGTATGCTGACAGGAAAGGAGGTATGAGAGAGGTGGAAAGACATGCAGCAAAGGACCACAGGTCGGATTCGAACCCAGGTCGGCCGCGTCAAGGGCTAGGGCTTATCTACATGGGTCGTGTGCGCTAACTACTGCACCCCCTAACAAAATGTTTTAAAAATACAATCTGAGAAAAGAGCAAATGTACTTTCAAAACCTTTTTTAATTAAGTTCCATTTCTATATTTGCATTTTTTTTATTTCCTTTTATAAAATGTTCTTCGCTTGCAACAATATTGGAACAAAATGCACTCCATATGGATGAAGCCATTGCTTTTGTTATATATAAACCTTCAAGAGTTTTTGCTAATCTTTATTTTTCTCTTATTATTACTGCAAATATATTTATGTTAATCATCAGTGATTATTATCATGTTCTTTATCTGTTTCACTGAGTCAAAGTTTCTCCCCTCCAGCTCTGATAGTGACTGTGGGTCTCAGCCTCCATGCGATCAGCTGGTATCACCGATAGCACTGGCAGCCTGTACCCGTGTGGACTCCTGTTTCGCTCCCTGGTTCGTCCCCTCGCTCGGCGTTTCCTTACAACTAGCAAAGCTGGAAGTTCACCTGTGCCACCACCTCGAGCAGCTGGGTACAGGTACGCTGAAATAAGCTGAACTGCATCGCACAGTTTCATGTCTCACCTAAACAATTAACCAGAAATCTGGGAAAACATTCACTCTCTGGAACTTTAAGGATTTTATAGTTTAGTATCTGACTTTGTGTTCAACTTCTTCCTTTTTGTTTTAATTTGTCATGTGACCAAAAAACTCAAATATACTCTCAACTAACATTTTAAAGGGCCTTTATTATGCTATTTGAAGCCTTTTAAGTCACTTGTAGCCAAGTATATGATGCAATAATGCCTTATGATTTATTTAGTCTTCCTTATGAATTTATTATGAAGTACAGGTAAAGTCAGAGACCCTGATTAAAACCATTTGACTTCAAATATTTTCACTGCTTAGAAATTAGAAAAAAGAAACAGGAGAGGTTGCTGCCCTGATAAGATGCTGAAAGAGCCACCTCAGATTCCAGACTTGCCTCACATCACCCCTGGTGTTCGTTGTTTTTTTGTTTTTTTTGCGGGCGTAGCACAGTTAACATAGGTGCTTCCTGGAGGGCATGTTCTTATGTAGATATTCTTCAATGCTTGCATCCACAGGTAAGAAAGGGGCTGCTGCTCAGACAGCTGAGCTCATCAGGATTAATCAGACAGGCAGGAATCAAGCAAAATACATGAAGGAGCAGCATTAATAGTTAAAAACCTGTGGCAGTCTGGGGGAGTGGCAGCCTAGTGGTTAGGGCATTGAGCTTGGAATCATGAGGTTCTGAGTTTAAGTCTCAATCCCACAGACTGCCACTCTGGCTCTCTGAGCAAGGCCCTTAACCCCACTCTGCTCCCCAGGCGCCCCACAATGGCAGCCCACTGCTCCCCAAAGGGGATGGTTTAAATGCAGAGGTAAATTTCTCCAATGCGAGATCAATAAAGTTCATTTATTATTATTATTATTAAATCAGCTTGTTTAGCATGATAATAGGCCTTTAAGTATAAATATATAGAAAAGACAAATGTGTTTCCTTTTTTTTGGTAAATATTTATATTTTCACTGCTTTTACAACAGATGAGGTCATGGTGAGACTGGTGCAAATATTCAAGGCATCAGTCTGGGTCCTCACTGTTATATGTTCATCAGTTTTGCTTCTATTTTTGTAAATAGCTGCAGGTAAAGGTTAAACGAATACAGACCTGAGAAATTTTAACTTCAACCTGTTTATAACTTCCTTCTGAGCGCTTGCACAAAAAGCGAGTCAAATATTAGTAATATTTTTAAGCATTAGTGCAGATTTGAGTTGGTTAATTAAACAGTCTGCCTGCAAAGTGAGATTCTTGTACTTAAAATGGGAAAAAACCTTACTATTATCTTCTTTTAAGTGCAGTATATCTGATTATTTTATTTCAAGGGCCAAACTTCTCATAAGAAATCTTTTACGTTTTAAGATCTATTTTTGCAGAGTAGCCTCGACATGATACCAGTTTAGCAGACAAGAAGGAGTCCTAAATCATCTGGATCATTTATAGAAATAAAACCCTAATGACCACGTTGACCTAATCTACACCTTCATCATTTGCTATATTTATATCTGATCGTCAATAAAAAGGATCTTCCTTTTTCATCATCTTACCAACAGATATTCATTAAATTATTATTAAATTTAATAAATTTGAAATGTATTAGATTTAAAATTGTAAAAACACCTGTTAAAGTTTACTTGATTGTTATTAATCATCCTCCATAACCTTTTTTAACTGCATTTTATTGCTTTTGGCAAAAGCTAATTAATCTTTCACTGTGGTAATGAAATAAAGTATCTAATCTAACATGAATATCAAAAATGATGCTTAGTATACTATAAATGCATAGTAGTCAATGTGAGTATCCTTGTTTGTGTTTTTTTATCATAATTTGTAGATGATCACTGTAAGAATTATTGTGTTCAAACGTCTAACATTAAATGTTTAGTTTATCTTTATAGAAAGCATCATCTAGAACCACTTTGTAATAATAATAATACATTTTATTTAAATAGTCCTTTCTGGACACTCAAGGTCACCGTACAAAAGCATAAAAACACTTTGTAGGCATTTCAATCAAACCGTTTAACTGACTGATTTTGTTTTCTATCTTAGGACTTTAAAGTTTATTACTATTATTATTTTGATCCACTTATTTGTGTTATGCTTACGTATATATTTTATTTACATTTAATGTATTCATTTGTAGTTTAAGTCTTTTAATTGACATGCCAATTTAAGCACATTAAAAACTGTGTTTTTTTTGTTTTTTTTGTAAAGCAGGTGGCCAGATGGGTTCGGCTCTGCCTGCAGCAGAATACTCAATTCATAGCAAGTTTATTTAAAACGCCCATCTTATATAACAATCGTAAAATCAATACACATAATAAAAGGGCAATAAAAACAATAATCGTTCTACATAAATCCCAATAAAATACACTGAAACAAATTGAAGGATCATTATTACGTTTGCAAGCATCTTCATTCAAAGCTTTCTTTCCAACGATTAAAATTGTTTTTTTCTTTTTACATTTTATGCCTTATGTATGATCAGAATCTATAGTATGGATCTAATTAAGTTGATATTGTCTCTTAGATATAGCCTAGCAGACTGCTGATTGGTCGTTTTAATTCAACGATATTTATTGGAAACATGTTATTAACAGTTTTTATATGTTTATCAATAATTAAAGCTAAATATGTTTTATTTTCCTTTCATCCAGTTCCATCAAGGAAACGTCATCCCTTCCTACCCGACAGGAAGTTACCTCAAGAGCAAGAGTTCATGGTGATTGGTTCTCGGGAGCCCCAGGTCTTCATGCGTCAGTGGAACAACGGGCCTCGCCGCTGTCAGGAGATGAGCTTTTCCACACAGCTGGACTGCAAACTGCTGGAGTACCGAAACTTAACCCACCTGCAGCTTCTTCAGTCCTGTGCGCTAAAGGTAGCTGAGCATCAGTTTTTTTATTGTTCAGACAAAAAAAGGTTTATTGATTTGATTTTTCTTTTATCCTTTTTGTCTTTTAGGGGCAGGCCACCGCCATCAGCTGCCCCCAGAACTCTTCTTTAGCTGTTGATGTGTTTGTGGATCCTGTGCTGCTTAATATCAGCCAGTATGCCATCCATACCGTGGACGCCGCGCTGCTCAGCTGGCAACAGGTACAGACCGCCTGCATCCCATCAGGCAGCCGCACCTGCCTCACATTTATGTCAATAATTACTTTTTTTTTGTTTTGTTTAAGAGTTAAAAAGGAGAAAATCTTTATCTTAATTATTTTTTTTCCTGTTTCAGATTTACGAGATTTATTTTAATTTTTTTTATAAGGTTTTCCCAAAAAACTGCCTTTATCTACTGTACAGTCTACGTCTCTAATCTTGCTTTTTAGATTCATTTTAACATGATGAAGTCACCGTTAGCTGCAGGCTCATAGATACGCTAAACCTGGATTGAAACGTTTGCAGAACCGATTTATTCTGTAGGATAATCTTTCAGGCAAACATTCTGCCTGTTTTCATTTGACTCTAAAGTTTTCGATGGGTTTCTTTTTTCATTTCAGCTCACCGGTAGCTCCACTTTCTTCTGTGTCACACCTGTTTGGTGTGATCCACCAAAAAACCTATAGAAATATCAAACCCTGTTTCTCACCAGCTAACATGAAGCACCCTCATACTTTACACCATTTGGGAGCTTTTAATCAGAGAAAACCGTATGCTTACAATTAGGAAATGTTCATTTCGATTGTAATGTTTTTTTTATTTTTTTTAAGAGAGAGCTGGCCAAGGTAGCAGCCAAACCACAGGAAGTTCATACATATTTACAACATATTACATTTTTCATAATAAAATCAGAGCAGTATGTTAAAACACATTGAGCATCTCAGGAAAAACAAGCACATATCTCCATCACTACATTCTTCATGGTTACTTTAAATTCATTAATGGACACCAGAGTTTCTAATTTGAGCTCTTTCTGGGGGTTATTCCATCCCCAAGGTGCAGAGCAGTTTTTCCCAACTCAGTTAAAGCTCAGGGTACAAATGTTGCCACCGTCCACTAGATGGTCCACTAATTTATTCTTAAAGGCTGGTTGTCCTCCCGCAGCAGTGTGTGTCGCAGTGAGCTTGTCGCAGATAATTTTGATTTATTCTCAACATTAAAGCGTGGTCTGCGCTATGTTATTCCACGCTACAGCACAAAAGGGGACAATCAGGAACCAGCTGTGGGTCTAGATACGGCCGTGGCGGTGACGAAGTGGGGGCAAGTTTGTGTGACAATGGAGGGACATGAGGGGGAAAAAGAGAGGGGATTCAGGTGGGAAAAGGGTCCCAGCGTTCTTGCGCACCTCGTTCTTTTAGTTGGTCCATCTTCACGGGTCGTTTTCCACAATGGCGGTCATACAAACAAAACAAGCCAGCAAGGTACTAAACTGGACATATGCATAGTGTAGAGTGGATGTATAATTGACCAATAAGAGGCCTCCTATCTGTGGTCATCTACAATTTGGAAGGTGCACCAGAGGGTGCATATCTGCGTTAACTGCGACACACGCAGACGACCTGGTTTCTGTGTATAAATCAGCCTTAACCTCGCAACCTCCACCCAACCAGCCGGCTTTAAACGTTTTACCACTCAGTGGCAGATCAGAAACACAGTTGGACCTCAGGCACGTTTTATTTGGACACCTGCCTTTTGGAACTTTGAAACTATTCAAAGTCATTTTCTTGACTTTAAGTGTTGAAAGGTTTTTCTATATCTTTTCATTGTTGCTGTATGATGTTTAAATTCAGTCATTGAGGTAATTGGATGACATGTTCTCTAAGGTTCAAAGTTAGATTTCATCTAAAAGTTTCTACGTTTAGATCACTTTTCAGAAAGTTAGGGAGTGGTTGGAATAATTTATTATGTCTGTTGCGTTAGCCTTTGTAATAACTCCATGTGGCACTAAGAGAAGGGATTAGAAATCATTCAAAAATCTGTGCACGATCAGAGAATTTGGTAAAAGCCTGTCTTTAGTCCCAGATGAAATATAAGTTAACTTGACCGAGTGGATTCCATGAGACTGCTTCAGGTTGGACGCCAGCTGTAATAAAATTTTCAGTGGGGAATTGCCTCTCTGTTTGGTGTAGATTGTGACTAAGAGGATACCAGCGTTTGGGCCTCATCATTTCCCAGATCTCTGCTCTCAGCACTGTTTCTGGTAGCCAGGATATTTGTGTGTGAAGCGATGCCCATGAAAACATGGTAAAACTTGAGTGGTGACACCTGCCAAGACTTCATCTGGGCCTAGTTCCCCACCCAGATGTTTATTCTCTGTACACGCTTCCACCGAAACACACAAACGGCGCTTTAAATCCTGTATCAGGGCTCTGCTTTGCTTAGCTGTGCTGACTCATATACTGGCCTCTGGAGACACAAGGTTCTCTCATGATTTTTACATGCGTGCAGGAGTCTGTGCCAGGTCAAAAAAGAAAAAAAAAAATTAATGGCCGATGTTTTTCTAAAAACAGCTGTGGTCTTTTACCTGTGGAAAATAAAATTAAACAAGCCGTATAAAAATACACTATGAAATGATTGTTCTGGCTTGCAGTTTATTGCCTTGGTTTTCACTCAGTGACATCAGTGAGGCTTGACTGACTGTTTACTGATTTGTCAAGTTTAGTCCGTGGCGTCATCACAGCACTCTTTGTTCCCTATTTATGCCGGTTATTTTAGTCATAAATAAGACTTTAGACTGCTGCTCATGTTACAATAAAAGGCCGTTTTAGGCTTGTTTCTAGAGGGTGGCTCATGTTGCAGCTCACTCTTCTCGTGCCGCCTGTCAGGGCTGACATCCTCTAGTTCAAACGGAGGCTCCCCGAATCTCTTATAGGTTGATCACAGCTGTAAGAAGATTAAGCTGCTATAAATGACACAGCTGATATATATAACAGAAGGATTTCTAAGTACTGCTTATGTCATTGCGAGGTTTAAGTGTAAATTATTTCTATTAAAGGTGATGTCTCCTCCCTGACCATATGCAGCACATTCACAGTTGCCCGCTCTTGTTTATAATTAATATTTAACTTATCAGAAAAACCTCTGCATGGCTTCTGAACCCCTTTGCTTCATTAAAGGTGCATAGTCACCAAAAACCCTTTGCACCTGATAAAATAAGGTCATAAACACCAAGCGTCCTTCCTGATAATGTTTAAGTCCTCCTTTTTGAGCCTTAATAGAATTTCAGTACCGCGAAAGATGACCTGACTTAAACAGACGTTGTGTCGTCTAGAGATGCACCAATCTAGATTTTTTCAGATCCAACCTGATGGTAATGTTTGGGCTTAGCTGTCTGCGATATCCAATACACATCCTATTCAACTGTTAAATTAATTAACCATGTATCTAGCCATGTGACTGAAGGCTTTAGCCTTGATTTAAACATTGTTAAAAAAGGAACTAATTACCACAGATATAAATGCACTTTTATATTATCTATTAACAAATAAGCAGAAGAAATAAGGAGATAACAGTTCTATTGAAAGTGCAATCTCCAAATTCCAATCACCAACATCTGATCCAGCTAATTAATCAAAAACGGAGCTCATATCTGATCCAGGTATAGATTGGTGCCTCTCTAGTGCCATCTGCTGGTAGTACCACAGAGCTACAGTAGCAGCCGTTAAAAATGGCCCTTACCAGTGAATGCCCACATCCCTGCAACTACCAGAGAAATCCCCTTCAACTTTCAGCCACAGGAGTGACCCCCCTCTTGCATATGTTTTGATACTCTGACCCCTCCCTCTCACTGAATTAGAGGCTCTGACCAAGAGATGACGCTTCTCTTTAGATCTTATTGTCCACAAATCATGACAGAATATTTTAGTACAAAGATTGATGTTTAAAAAGTAATTGTAGGGGAGCAGCAAAGGGCACATCAAGGAAATTGGGGAAATTGTCATTGGCAACTACTGTATCAGAAAGAAGGTGAACGCTAAATGTAGCCTGATCATCCTGTAAAGCCTCCTGCTAAAGCAAAAGCTTGGCATGGTGAAAGATAAATAAACTGATCTACAGCAGCTCTAAGTTCTGGTCAATCTGCTCCAGATGCTCCAATTAGAAAATAAAGGAGATTTATCCTGTTTCTATCTTATTTCCACACTTCCATGGGAGGTGCTAACTGGCTCAGCTACCTCCTTTTTTACCTCCTGTGCACATGCGTAGTGGCCTACCTCTGTTGTTATTGTACATTCAGATGAACGGTTTTATTTGCTAGCTAATTATGCAAAAAACAAAGAGTAAAATATACTAATAAAATAAATAGTGTAATTCATGAGCAGGATGTGGTAGTGATGGTGAAGTTTCTCAGTCATCCAGGTCATAGTCATTCCAAAAAAAATTAAAAACAATCCACTAGACGTAGTTTCCAAGTTTGAAGACGTTTTGCTTCCCATCCAGGAAGCTTTTTCAACTCAAAATTTCAGAAATAGCGTTGAGTTCGAGGCTTTATACAGTAGTAGATGAAGGGGTCCGCCCCTTTGGAATGGGGGTCGTTTGGCTTCTTTTGTTAGCCTACAATGCCATTCCCATCTAAGTGTCTGAAAGGTCCTTAAAGGGAATTGTTGGCCTGGCTGAATAGACGAGGTCCTCCACTCTCCTGTACAGGGCTGGGGCTGCCATGATAACGGGAAAGATTAACTCAATAGCTACATTGTACATTTTTGAAAGCTGGAACCTGAGTCCAACCCCTCTGTTGAAGGTTGTTTTTTCTTTCTTAACTTAGATCATTCAGAACAACTTTATACACAACCAAAGTGAGAAACTGGGGTATTGATAAAAAAAAAGTCAAATAATGTGACTTTGCAACTTAAAGTATCCATTAAAGCTTAAAAGCTTGATCGATGTTCTGCCTCGTTTTGCCTCTTTTTTTCTGCTTTTTGGCTTGAATGTAAGAAAGCTGCTACTCCCTTTTGATGCAGAATCCTTACATGTAAACACTAGCATGGTAACCAGCAGTAAACAAATATATGTTTTAGACCTATTAAAATGTATAAGGCAATCATTTATATACAGTATTTTCTTCATTAAAAGTCTTGCTTTTATTCTGCTGCACTGTAAACATTAAGTGGATGTATTAGTTATGAAAAAGTTTTTATTTTGATGCAAAAGTTCATTTCAGTTTAGTGTATTTCTGTAGCACCAATTCACAACACATGTAAGCTTAAAGCATTTTAAACAAACATCAATCAGAGCGTTCCAGAGTGATTCAGAGTTTTCTATCAAAGGAAACCAGCTGATTGCATGGACTGGTTGACTTGGAGGATTCACTCCTCCTGGATCAGCATGTGATGACTGCAGACATTTGCTTGCAAAGTTGTAGCTATGACCTCTAAATATAAAATATTCTTCCTTAGACCATTTGTTTTAAAATAAAATGTCAGAGATTTTAAAAGCTCCGTCCTTCTGAGGAATTTCAGTTTTCAGCAATACTTCTCCTTTTTCATGGGGTCAAGGCTAACAGGCAGTCCTGTTATTGAGTGACCTGCAGGGCCAGCTCTGAAACAAAGCAGATTCCTCAAGTATAATTCTGCTTCAACCTTCTAACCCAGCCAGAGTCATAACAGACCACTACAAACACAAGAGATGGACCTCTTCCAGAGGGATTGCAATAAAAAGTAATAAAACCCACTTTTTATGGTCCTAACATATAGTCGCTTTGCATATTTTCCACAGTAATGAAAGCAATCTACTAAAAAATAATAATAATTAGCTTCCATCAATTTGAACAAAACAAATTCTTATTAATGTCAGTTTACTATTCATCCAATTTCATTAAAGCACAGCAGACCGTCCTGTTTTATCGTAACCTTTAGGTCTTCATCCAGATGCAGCGGGGAACAATTGGGTCCAGATATTTGTTGAAATGACCGTTTTTGAAAAATGCAGGGATTGTTCTTGTTGCTCCGTCTCCTTCCACCCTGTGGCCTCAGACTCCCCCCCCCACCCCAACAACCCCATGCCTCCATTTTCAACTTGGTCCCAAGGTGCCGTTCTCAGTCTCTGCTCCCTTTGGTTCCTAACTCAAGGGAAGTGGCTTTGGTTGAAAGCCACACAATAGTCCAGTAGTATTTCCACCGCTCTTTCCCACAGAACAATCCCAGGCTGCTCTGTATCCAGCTGAGACAAAGGAATTTTCCACCCCATAATTTTATCAATTAATTTTATTTTTCTCCACTCTCTCCGTGCTTCAATAGTTCTCTGTTTTGCTCTGTTTTTCTCTTTGCAAACCAGAAAGAAAACAATGCAGATCAGAGTTTCTGGCTGTAGCAGAGGTGTCTGATGCTTTAGGCGTTTCTGTGGAGAAGCAGAAGAACGGGGTTCGATTTCTCCTTTACAATGTCACTGTAGCATCCACAGGGTCCTATTTTATTTGCGTTTTGTCTCGGCCGCTATTTACAATCAGTTTTCCAGACATTTTACCGTAGCTCAGCATTTTTATGAGGGGCCAAACAGCTATGGCTTGGAGTCTAGGTGGATTAGAGTAAGAGGATGCTTTGATGCCAAGTAGGACAGTGTCTGAAGACGAAGCTGTCATCGTGTGCTCTTTTACAAGATTTATGAGCTAAGTGTTTAAGTTTCTTTGTATTAGTGTTTATCCAGTTTAAGCCCCTACATACTTAAGGAGTGAGTATGATTATAAAAAGGAGCTTTCTGATAAGTGTATCACATTAGCTTGTGAATCAGAGCGGAAAGACGATCCGGTCTGAGAGCGGGCTTAGCGATGGCATCTTAAGATGGCTGCAGGAAGTTTGTAAATCGCAGTGACACATGCAAAAAAAGGGGCACAGATAGAGTTCCACTATAAAACTGGAAATGCCTTTAAACTCACTGCTGCAGCTGTCCCATCTATATTTTACTCTTTAACGCTCACACACATACACACATCCATCATCACTCGTTCTTTAAGCGGTGTAAACTTTCCCATCCGCTTTCGATCTAATCAACCACCCCAGGATCCTGAACGTGCTTGGCAGTCAGACTCTGAGATTTTACTGCCAGCCTCTTTTAACCATCGCTGCCTTTTTTCTGCACAAAGCTCTTGCCAGATCTCTGAATTCTCTCTTAGCATGTTTGAGTAATTATTGAGAAGCAGTATGAGCTGCATTTATCTGCATCAAGAGCTGAACAGAGGGTGTGCAAGAGCGCCCCCATCAGCTGGCTTGAGTCTGCAGCAGCTCAAATAGATCTTCCCATATTAACAGCAATGATAAACTCTTGTGCTTATTGTACTGCCTGGTGTTCTTCACTGCAATCAGCTGGTTTTCCTTACATATAAACTTTTTACCAGCCTGACTGGATGATCTGATTGTAAAGTGCCCTGAGATGACATGTGTTGTGAATTGGTGCTATATAAATAAAATGAATTGAATTACTGCAGGAGAGTTTACACACACTGTTCTCTTCCTTTTTTATGTTTTTTTAATGGAATGAACATATGAGTGAGCGGCAGCTGTTTTTCAGACAGTTTTCTTCATGATAACGTAGGGCTGGACTTAGTTTGCTCTATGAAAACACATTCAAACGGGGTGTTACTTTCTAACATGATAACCTACAGCTGGAAGTGGATCCTTTGCTCACCAGTTATCAGGGCGACAGTGGCGTCAGATGCAGGAGGAAAAAAAAAAAAGACCTCAGCTCTCATATATATATATATATATATATATTTATATTTATATGTGGACACACACTGTATGTACAGACAAACTGTTTTATTTGCTAGTTAATTATGCAAAAAACAAGTAAGGAGTAAAACACAAATAAAAAAAATGTGCTAAATACATGAGCAGGATGAGTAAAATATGAGCCAAATTGAGTAACTGGGGTATTGATGAAAAAAAAGATAATAATGTGAATTTGCAACCTAAAATTGAAAACAAAGCTTAAAAGCTTAACCGAGGTTCTCCCTCGTTTTGCCTACTTTTTGTGCTTTTTGGCTTGAATGTAACACAGAGGAGAAGCTAATGCTCCCTTTGGTGCAGAAACCTTACATTTAAACACTAACATGGTGAAGAAAGGTAAACAAATATATGTCTTAGACCTGTCAAAGTGTTTGAGGCATTTACTTAAAGTCATAGGGAAGTCATTCGGCCAATCATATATCAACCGTCATCTGTCAATCAAATGTTTTCCGTCATAGCATCTTGATTCATATGTCGCAGCTAATATACATTTAGGCCTAACCCTGACATTTACCCTGACCATAACCATTATCAGTAAGTTCTAACCTTAACCTTAAGTTAATTCACACCATACCTCTAAACTGACTCTCTGAGGTTAAAAATGGGTGTCCGTTACATTAAGACCAGTCTTCAGTCCCCTTAAGGCCTTTTGGTTTTGAGGGCTAATAAATATAGCAAAAACTGTCCTAAATAAGCAACATTACGATAAATATCTGTATTAACTTCTATTATCCCAAGTCCTTCAAAAGAGCTGCTTCTCCAAAAGTCAAAAAAGGCTCAGCATAGGCCAGTAAAAGTAATTTTAATAGGCCCTTCTGATTTTAGAAGGTTTTTCACATTTTTAAATGTGCAAATACGTTTGAACAAACAGAGTAGGTCTTCAAAGAAGGTATAAAACCTTTTTATGTGTGGATCCCTTCATCGATATGCAGATGATATTCTAATGTCCCAACTGCAAATTCATGGGTGGAGGACATGCAAATATTAAAATTTACCACATGCAAACAAATTTTCCAAATCAGAATCTCTGTTTGAAGTTTTTGTGTCTTTTTTTAGTACTTTTGAAAGCGAGGTTCGAATTTACATGCTAACATTTCTGTGGCCATCGTCGCAAAGAAGGAGTCATTTTGCCAGATATTGGAGAGATATGCTGTGCACATATAAGCTTGTATGGACCATCTGAAATGACAATAGTAGAAAAATCTTAAGGAAGAAAAACCAACAGAAATGAATGCAAGTGGAAGGCAGACGATCTTTATACAATTAAACCAAAATGGAAAAAATGACTGAACTGGAGAGACATGTCCATTTTAATGGGTGGACCAAACTGGTTTGCATGTGTTGTAATATTTGTAGATTACCCACAACATACCCAATTATTATATTTACTAAGAAAAAAACTGCATGAGCAATTTAGCATCTCTTATATGGAATATTTGAAGATCAGGCACCAAGAGTCTACGTACAAAGTAGAGGACTAGAAACACGACTATGTTTCACATTTTTCCTTTTTATAGTCACAACCTGGAATTCAATTAGCTTTAATTAATGAAGAAAACAAAATACATGTTTTTTTGAATTTTCATTGATTTAAAGTATGGCAGCCCATACTGCAATGAATAACCCTTCTTTTTCTTTTTCAGAACGGGAAACAGGATGCAGAGGAGCTGCTCTACAGTCACTATGTGATCTGTAATGACACAAATGAGACTCTGCGCTTTGGCCAAGTGGACACGGATGAGAATATACTGCTGGCCAGCCTCCACAGCCACCAGTACAGCTGGAGATCCCATAAGTCAGCTCAGGTATTGTGTACAATTACAGGCTGGTTTTGGTTGGTTCTCTGCAGAAATGTGCACCATATGGAGTGAAAGGAAAATCCAAAAATGACACTTTGAGGTTTAGATCAGAACTTTGCTGTTTTCATAGATTTTTATTTCTCTTAAACTATTTCTTTTTTTTTAAGATTTTATTTTCTTTATTGAGTTTTACTGATTTCATTTTTTCCAATTTGCATTTTTAGTCACATTATCTTCACTTTAACCCTTTATAGGGCACTCAGTGAAATACTTTGAAAATCTAAATTTCAAGCCAATAGTGTTATTGTAATCCAGGATAAGAACTTTTTACCTTTGTAATATAAAAAAATTTGGATATTTTCATGCTAAAAATGTATGTCAACGTAATAAAAAGAAACGCAGACTTGCTGAATATAGTAAGAAATATAATAAATGTGCTTCTATAAGAAATTAATGAAAAACACTCAGAGTGAAAGAAAAACATTATTTTTGGTACAATATAACATTAGAGGCATTAATGCTTGCACTTGCAAATTTTTTTAGTTTATATACCTAAACATAATTGTTAACTAGGCTTATTAACTTTTCAATTAGCTTTTTACCTTTTTTGTCTTTAATTGTTAACTTTTTTCCCAACTTTATTTACAGTAGGAAATACATCATTCAAGTGCTCATCTAATTGGTAAAATGCAGAAATAAGATGTACAGTACAGCCATCTAGCAGCATCTTTGCTGAATGGCTGGATATAGATGTTGTGCTTCTAGACCTCACTAAGGGACGGGGGGACTCCATTTATAAGAGGTATGCATGTGATTAAAAATGGTAACTTGCCCTTTAAAGGATTAAGCCCAATAAAAATGTTGTTGCTAAAGTCCATGCAGACCGGTAGTCACAAGGCGGGATTCCAGAAGGAAAGACATGTGATCTATACATTGAAAAAGAATGAAAAGTTTAAAACTCCATCAAAGATCAGTTTGAAAAATTTAAATTAGAAAAGCAAACAATCTCTAAAAAAAAAAAAAAAAAAAAGTGGTGAAAATGTAAGAAAATAAATAACATTTGAGAAAAACGCCAAGTTATTCTCAGAACATTCCTTTATGTGTATCCTTGATGAAGACATGCATTTGTTTCCTGAGACAGTTCCATAAGCATGCATGGATCCAGTTATTGATCCGATTATATAACAGAATTTGCAGAGAAATCAAAATAAAAAGCCAGCATGTTTCTAACAGATTGTTTCTAACTGTGTCACATTCATTAGCTGACGGCACACAGGAATGATGTCCTCCTCAGAGGTTCACTCACCTTCATCAGTGCGCAGCAGCTATGCGAGCGTTGCTGTCGGCCTTCTCAGACATTTCCCTGACAGCATTGTTAAAGAAGATTGATTATATTTAACCCTTTGTGGTTTTGAGGTTGAGCGGAGGGTGGGCTGAGGCTCTGCGGCATGTGTGCGCAGTGTGCGTACGTGTGTATGGTATGCACATGTTCCAGGACCCCCGAGTGCTCCACGATGAGTGTGAGAAAGTCAAGCTTGAGAAAAGACATGGCCGTAATTGCTCGCAGTAAGTCAGTAAGTCAAGTTGTATTAATCATCGACAACGGTTAATCTGTGCTCTTACCTCACTCTCGCTCACACACTCTGTGAGTGGCAATCTGGCATATTGGCACAACCAATCCCACATCTCGTTTTTAGCGGTGAGTCAAAATGACCTCTGCATTTTCAAGGATGTTTTGGATGAAAGATTGTCCAAATGAGCCAGATGTCATCATGGATGAAGAATGCGATTCCAGGCTGGTTCTGTCATGACTTATTCCATCATGTGTTTGTGCAATATAAAATGTGTGTTCTTAAGATGGACATGATTTGTGAAACTAGATAAAATAAGAAACAGTTATGTTGCCAGAACAGCTTAGCTAACTTCTAAGCATGGTGATAAAAAACCCAGCCAAAGTGTCCGCCTCAGCAAATTGTAGCAAACACTCCTAATTAGGTTTGGGGAGGTTATAAAAATAGTGACACTGATAAGAATGAGGATTTTATTTCTTTAATGGTTAAATTGTCCTGCAAAGTGTTGTTGGAGTCCATAAAAATCCATTTCAGATGGAAGTTAAATGCTTGGGCTGTTAGTTTAAGTCCCATGATGCTTTGGAGTATCGAAAACAAATCTGATCCCTCCGCAGCGTTATTTGTCTGTCGTTCACACCCTGCCTTTATAAGCCTCTCTCTACATATAAGCCTGCTTTCTACTTTGATATAAGAGATCTGTTTCTCCGGGTTTATTTCATATATATTTCTTTTTTTTTTTACCTCACATTCTTCACTTTCATCAGATTTTCTTATTGCTTATCTTTGGCTGGTATCTGACAGAAAGCACTTGATGCCAATTATTTGTGCTGAATGTGCCAGCCACATTCCTCGTTAAATTAATCATAATAATTGTATCAAAACAGTCCTTTTTTTTCTGTCTTACAGTTTGTGCAGCCAGCAGACCTCTGTTGCCATTTCCAGGTTGTCAGATTTCCATTCAAACTAAAGCCAAGTCATGTTCCCATCCACTTTTTCTCATACTTTTATTCCCTCCTCATCTCCCAATATTGAAGCCCTTCCAAGCCCATCAGTAAACACTTTACGGCTTGGGACCCTTGGTGGAGTTACCTCACCCATGCTATCATATTGCTCATAGCGCTGACTGTTATTCGCAGCCATGTACTGGAGCAACCTACCGGCTACAGGTCAAAACCAATTCTCGACCTCACGCCCAAATCACAGGTCACCACTCGTAGCTGTCAAATGATGTATTTTTCCTTGATTCATCAGCTATGTAACATCTGAGACCTTCTTTAACCGCTATGGTCGTTTTGGGGTCTCACTTGGACATTTTTGCTCCTGTCACGTAGCCACGCACCACTATCTTGCAGTGTTCTCGTATTTTAACAATTTTTGTAGCAAAGCCAGGTGTTCTGGTGTTTTATGGCCCACCCTGGCTGATCTCACTTGCCCTTGTCTCTTTTTCTCTTCGTCCCTCACTTTTCTCTTATTATCTATTAGACTTTTCTTTTGGAAGAAGAAACACGTTTTCAGTGATGCAATCTTAAGAAAATAGTTATCTTCGCATTAAAGATTATATTCTCCCATCAATTCAGTTCACTCAGTTTATTCCTAAACCACTGATTGACAACACGCCTTTTCAGGGCCGTTTAAGATGGCGGCTGAGACATGCAAACGCTCTGCAAATACATAAATGAGCCCAACATAAAAAAGAAACATGCATAGGACAAACGCTGCAAAAGAAAAATACTGCAATCACAGAAAGTAGAGAGGAAAAGTGCAAACACTCTGAATACAAACGTGCTGCAAACACAAAAAAATTCTGCTAACATAAGTTATGCTATAACACAAAATGCATAAAAGAGAGCACATACAGTTAGTCGCACACTGAACCTGTTTCTACTGGAGATTTCTTCCTGTTAAAAGGGAGTTTTTCCTCTCCACTGTCGCTGCAGGCATGCTTGGTGTGAGGGATTGCTGAAGAGTCAATGAGTCGATGCAATCAACTGGTTTTCCTTAGATAGGAAACTTTGAACCAATCTGACTGGATGATCTAATTGAATTGTCTCTGTTAAGTGCCTTTGAGGAAATATGTTATCTATCAGTGCTTAATAAATAAATTGAATCGAATTGAATTAAAATGACATAAAGGGAAATGGTGCAAACTAGCACAGAACAACGGATTGCTCTAGCACACCGGGAGGAGACAGTAATAGCCTTTACACACTGGCCCAAAAACCTGCTTAAGCCTACAAACAATCGGCTTTAATCGGCAGTGGGAAAGGCTCACTGATGACATGCTTGAAACGACTTGGCAAGCAACCTTGGTTAAAATCATCTTAAAACGGCTCTGCATGCAGTGGGAACATCCGACCCTGATCGACTCGCTAATTTACATGATACCATTGAATGCAGTGAACGTATGTCACAACATCGTGGCAGTCGCGTCTGATATAACGAGCCACAGCAACTCTCTCTGCATTTGATTAACCTGACCTAGCAGTGGTGAGAGAGATTCAGATGGATAAAAGAAAGAAACAATGAAGCGCTCTGAGTACGTCTTGGCTCCCCTCCATGTTGCTCTCCATTGTTTGCTTTCCTGATTTTTGTCGCTTTGGTGACATCATCAAACCTAACCCAGGTTGATGGCGTCACCAAACATGGCACAGTGGGGGGACAGAGGCCACGCGGCTTCCCAGCAGGGGTCAGACCCCACTTTTTTGGTGGGGAATGGGAAGGGAGTCGATTGTTAGCGAGTCGAAGCGTGTTTTAAAACCAGCATTAACCTGATCATTTCAGTGGGAAAGAGGCTTTAGAGTCCCTTAGTAAGGATATAAAATGGATGCTCAGAGAGATTGAATGTTT